CCTAGCGACAGTAACCAACCATCGGAGATTCTAACTAACGAGAGGGGTTCTATAATGCTATTGATGAAGAAAAAATTGCCTGCAAGGAGTGCAGTTGTCGTAGAATAGGTCACTTGGCTAGAGAACTTTATTGAGAGCGATTGGATGATTACTGAGTTCTTGAAGAAGCACCTATTCATTATCTCCATACCTCAGGGATCTTGAATCCTATTGCTAGTCTTCGGACTTCTGCAACAACTGCTCTCAATTATGAGCCATTAGCTGGGGAATGGGCGAGTGATATTCTGCTGAGAAATGAAGGATAAGATGTTCGATTCCCTGGAGTTGATGAAACCCGCTTTGGGATGCACCCACGCATTCGACTTCCGTTCAGAATTGTAGTGGTCGTGCGGATGTGGCCTATACAATGAATTGCGATGGCCAGTCGATGTAGTCAGTGCTTTTATCCTCCCGGACGACTCTAGTACCAATTAACCGACCCCGAAGGGATTGAAGCCTTGGTTGGCTTAGGCGGATATCGAAACGGGATTCAATCGCAAGACCATGTGCTTGTGATAGTGCGCTACTTGCCACTACATATCCCCATCCTGAGAAGTTAATAACGAACAAATTCAATGGGCAGATCAATAAATAATGAAGTGAAGGAGTTCCTCCAGGTGTTCTCCTGTTGCCTCCGTCGACGCAATCGACATCCATCCATATTCGTTGCGTCGCTTGAAGGTGTAGTCGGTGCAGCCAGCATTTTGGTGCTGAGCCGTCCTCGAAGTCGTTATACTCCCTAATGAAAATGGTGGGCATTGGTTCCAGTCAGCTGATCCTGGCAAAATAGAATGCACGCTTGGTTGTGATGGATATTGATCGGGGAATCAAACCCTGGGTCGTTATGTGGCATCTCTTGGCCCTGTCCTGCGTCCGACAGATTGATTGGTAGCAAGAATCAAAGGAACACGAGTAAATAATGAAAACAACAGATAAAGAGCTTGTCATATTTTATGATGAAACTCAAGTAAGAGTTACTGCTTGCTACTGCCTACCCTTGAAGGCGATCCTTGGTCAATCAAAGAGAGCTTATCTCTCGTTTAAACTTCAGGAAGAGTTCTTAATGCAGCTTATAATGTCCACCTTGTTATTATATAGGTGGATTATACGGTTGCGTACTGCAATCAGCCTTTTACTAAACCTATACTTCCTTCTTCGAGCGGAGATCTTAGTCTTTCGGCTATCGTATGCTCCAAATCGAGGCTTTCGAATCTCAGAAATCTCATTACTAGGCGATAAACTTAAATAATATCAGTTGGGATCACTAGTAATCTTTGAAACTGATCCTTCAACTGGCCGTTCGTTCGCGTCAAGTCTGTTCTGTCTATTCTGGAACTTCTGATGCGACCTTTGTTCCAGGGAGACTTTTTCTGATAACGTCCCATCTCATCTCTCATTGCCTCCCACATATTGGCTTCCCCTGATCTTCAAACCCTTCATTTTTCTTATTTGGGGAAAGTGCTTATTGGGGGAAAGAGTAAGTGTCATGGACGACACTTTCCGTTGGGCTTTTCGGTCGTTTTCTGCTTGCTTTAGTGTTCTTTAACTTTATACCAATGGAGGTAAGGTGTGGCCACCAGTTTTCGCTTCATTCCGCTCTTCATAGCACTGGACTTCGTATATTCAAAACGGTGTCATTGGGAGGGCGATTATGGTCATTAGGTCATTAGGATTCCAAGACGGTGCTGAAATGCTCCTCACTATCTACTACTGTGGCGATCTTGCTAAATCTTTAACGCGATGGTTCATAGGGTAGCTGTTTGAACCACTATCTTGTGGATACCGATCGCTCATAGCCCAGGGTGTTACCAGAAAAGGGACAAGCCAAGATGACGTGAGTGCGATTCGATCTCGTGGGCGGTGCAACCACGAATCTACTGTTTCTTGTCTCTCCCTACGCTTCTTTTCCCATGGTTTTTCTATCCAGCTGCTGATTTTATCCTTCTATGTTCCTCTACTGCTCAGTAATGTCCCTCTGATGATTCTGGTGCTTGACTACAACTTATTTCTACAGACAGGAGCTTGAATAAATAATAATATTATTATTATTAATAATGGTTGAACAATAATAGCGTCGAGGAAGCGGTTTCTATGATCCGTTATGCCGAAATTGGGGACCAACGGTTCTAAATTAGCTCTTCCGAGAAGTAAAGCCTTCCCTGGTCGTGTGGGCTCCTTCTACCTGAGGGGCGTGGGGATGGGGCTATTAAGTGAAGCTTTCAACACGGATATTTTCCATTTTGGCTTCAGATTTCAACCTTTTCGCTTCTTCGGAAACCTGGAGCCCGCGAACCTATCAGACTTACAACTATCGGAATAATGAATTTCTTACTGGCCCCAAACCAAAAGTCTTGAGTACAGAGGAGGGAAAGGCATAGAATTTAGTAATCTTTTTAGAATACGTTTTCATTCTTCTCATTTTCCTTCTTCTTATAGGTACATATTAAAAAGGGCAAAGGGTAAAGGGTAGAGTGGGTGCTACTGACTTTAACCGGCTCCGTTTAGAGATGCGCCATGCATTCGACCTCTATGCGAAATTATCATGACGTCAAAACGGCTACGGCCGAAGCCTTTGCATGCAGCTGTTGGCTCAGCCAATGTAATTTTTATCCCTCCTACGATTTTAATGCCGATCAATAAACCCCATAACTCTATGGAAGGCATACTTAGCTCGAGCGAAAAATAGTTGAGTGAATTTAATCCTCAAAACGGTGGCTTATCTTTCCGACGGCTTAAGAACTCTTGAACTTAGAATTTAAGGCGATCCATGAACTACTCTGGCTGTTTGAAATGGAGTGTTCACTTTTCAGGAATTTTTTCCAGCCTTTTTAGGAATTTCGATTATTCTACGAGATTGTCCACCTCTGATTATGGCGAATCCAGCTGGTATATTGACATTTTAGCAAGTTTAGAGTTCTAAGTAAAACACCTGGCAAGTTCAAAAAGTAGTAGATGAATATACCAGAATTTCTGGTTTTTCTAATTCTTAAGATTGTACAGGCTTTTCTAGAACATTAGTTGGCGATTCTCAGAACATTCCCACTTTCCGTTGCTCTACCACTGGTTAGTAAGTGTAAGATGGAAGTCTAATTGGGCTGACGTATCGATCTTGTCACTTTCGTTGGAGCCCGAAAAGTGTAGGTGAAAAGGACTTCAGCCCTAATACATCAGTCACCTTCCGGGATAGCTTTCTCTATAGGGATTGGATGGCCCGCTTTCTTACTTACCTTCTAGTCCATGGGCTCGACGCTGATCTTTTTCTGAAATTTTGGAAATTCAATATGACTCAGTCAAAGAGCATGATTTATCCATCTCCGGTAAACTGCTTCTCGGGAAATTTAGATGAAATTGGCAAAATTCTTAGGCAGCAGCCAGCTCATTCCCTCTGCTATTCTGTCCATGCTCTACCTTGACTGCTTCCTCTAGCGATCTGCAGACGGCACCGTCTTCAAATACTTTGCTGGCAGGTAGTTCCAAAAAGTAAAGTAGTAAGTGTTTTGGTTAGTGTTTTGCTTAGGCCTATGAGATTGCGTGGGGGAACATTTCACCTGTCCCAGATGACAATGGGCGCTTACAGTATGATTCATAGGGGTACTCACCTGTGTCAAAAATATTTACTGGTGTATGTATTTGAGTTATTTGCCAGTACAAAAGAGGAGGAGGAGGGCAATCCTGCCACTTTGCAGCGACACTTGCAAAATCAAAGTACATTCATTTTATTCATATTCCACTGACCGATATTTAGTGAACATCGCTTTCATTGGAAGCTCCTGACATATTCCTTTGAAATGTCGTACTCAAAAGAGTTTCTATTCAACATTTCTCAGTAATTACCGNTTGAGGCTCAATTTTTCCTCATCAATCAGTTCCTGCTGATTTTCGTTGAATTACGAAAACATTCGAGAGTTTTCGGAACAGCTGGAATATTCTCATAGCTAGATTAATGCATTTTTTTGAAAACTTTCTAAGATGCCTTCAAAAAAATAGTCCAGAATGTTTTGGAGTAGTGTAAAAATTCTCAATATTTCTATTATGGTATCACAGTCATTGGCGAGCTTTTACTAGTTTCTAATGAAAATTCAATTTTGTTAAATTTGGGAGAAAGAACTGGTCCATCCAATGATGTCGTCAATAATTAGCTTTTTGCGAAAAAATCTCGAGGTTCCTATTTTTGGTAAAATGGCCCGTGCTTACGTTGATTCCAATGCCATCGAAATTGGAAAAGGAAGTCCAATGCATGGCGAAGCTAACAACCCTACCTACTGTTGCCCATTGGCCGTCGACTTCCTTCTGCCGTCCACGGGTTTGTCTGGCGTTACGAGGAATCCATAGAGTAATCATCGGCACCGGTCTAACGGTGATCGCAATATCGCCCGACATGGCGGACCTACGGATGTGCTAATCAATGTCTACTACTTAATTACAAGTTCCCCGAGTATTTTACTTACTAGTTCAACTTTTTTTATTATTTTTTGTTCAGCGCCTAAAAAGGCATTCAATATGATAGGGACAGCTGAAGTTTTTTCCTCCGAGCCGTGGAATGTTTGCTCAATCCACCTGTCACATGTGCAGTCGTATACGGTATGTGATTCCTGTAGCGCTCACCTGTCCTATGAGCTAATGCTTACGCTGCAGATGAAAAAAATGGTTTATTTCTTTTGTTCAATCTATTGAGGATGCGCCGCGCATTTGGCTCTTTTCCAGAATCATTTCGTCATTTGAAAGCGCATTTCAGCTTTACAGTAATTAATTGTAGACAATTGATGTCCAAATTAGAAATATTGTTCTCTCGAACTCTCGAGCTAGGATAGCGACCCAAAAAGCTAAATGACTTGAGAGGTTATCAAGCCGGGAGGCTTCTTTCGTGGCAATGTGTGTCGTTGTGGCTCTTTTTGAATATCTGCCGACTTTGCGTATTTTTTCACATGATTTTTAGTTGGTGTATAGGTACTAATGCTTCACTACCCACAGGAGCTCTAATGTGGGAACAAAATCTGCCAACAGGGCTGGGCTATACATCAGGGATGGGGAAATGTGATGTCTACAAATCTCAACAGCTTCCGGAACATTCCGGCCCTGACGGTTCTCTGAGTTGGTCCATCGGCAACAAAGAATGATGTATGCACTAACTGCCTTAAGACCTAGGATGAGGAAATGTGGTGTCTACAAATCTCAACAGCGTCCGGAACATCTCCGACCTTGACGGTTCTCTGGATTGGTCCATGTCCATCGGCAACGAAGAATGATGTATGCACTAACTGCCTTAAGACCTATTCGCTTCAGGTATAGAGATGCTGAAACGGGAATTTTTTCCGAAAAGCCAAAATGATAGTATCCCAAAACCTATATGTAACAGAAAAATTGGAAATTGTATCAAAGACTTAGTAAAAGGGGAAATACATTTGACATATCATCGGCATTATTTTTCAGAGTAATAACTTAACTTCGTTAACTATAACTACTAACTTTAAAAACATCTTATGAAGCTTGACAATCGATCAGAATCCCTCCAAGCTTGAAACTTTTGTTTGCACGCGTGGTCCGGGGATCAAATCCCGTATCGATACTCACCTAGGCCAAGCGACGACTCTTCCATCCATCCAGGGTTAGTTGGTTGGTACCAGACCCGTCTGGGAGGATATAAGCTTTGATGTGCGCGACGGCTGGATACTGGAAGTTTACATACACATTCAAACGTTACTGCGGTTCTGAATGGAAATCACAAATGCGAGGCGCATCCTGGACTGATCAATCTGAACCCCTGTACTCCCCTGTGAATCGATTACTCAGTAAAACTGGCTGGTCTATCAGCTCATTGGAGGTGAATTCTGTTCTTCTCTATTTACTCTCACCATGTGGTGGTACTAGTGGTTTCTGTCTGTTCGAGGGAAACCGAGGGCCTTTTAAAGCTCTTCGATGTTGACAAACATGTTGTAGTAAGTCATACACCAGCCTATTAAAGTCATTATGTTTACCTTATTACTGAAATGCGTTTATAAATACCGTCAATAATCTGCAGATGAAGCCTAATTTTATGATTCATACACCGTTGGAGAGAGTGGTTTAATCATAGTCAATATCATGAGCCTGAAGTTGCACCGTAAAAGAATAGAATTTTCTACTCTGGTAATATAATTTCATTATTTTACTCCATTTTTTTGAATTTTTTAATGGTAAATGGTCTAAGTTTACTTATTATGCTAATTATCTTTATTAAAATGATTAGGCGTCATTTCACATTGACGCCAGTTCAGCTCGTGTTTCATTCGCCATAGTGGTGCTCCACTCGGGTGTGGTGTCTTCTCCCCGAAAATCGCGCCGCGCTAGCCGCACCCAGTCGCGCGCGTCCGCGCGCTATCGAGGAAATGGCTGACGTTTCCACTGGAAGAATATGGTAGTCGTCACGTAACCACTGCCGCTCCCCGTGGGAAATCGGGTAGAAGTACCGCTACCCGTTCCTATCTTTACTCATGTTTTAGCCCTTCCAAATTTGACCAAGCTATTCTAAAAGTTTCCTTCGACCCGATTCTGAGTTACAACAACCTGATCAAAGCTTCTCACAGCTTTTTATATGAAATAGGAGACTGTAATCTCCACTACGGCCTGGATTAGGAAAAAATTTGGCTACTGGTAGTTCCCTGGCATGGACCAATACTTGACCCGTCTTCAACCTGGCGAAAAACGACCCTCTGTGCGCGCGGCTCACCCACCTACTACTTATTCAATGTCCCGTGTCCAAGGCAAACGACTTGTTACACGAGGAAGTGACTCAGTGGAGAAACATCGTGACGTCCTATTCATATAGACGATGAAACGGCGAATTTTTTGGCGATATTTTTTGGGTTTCTGATGAAATCGGCTCAACTCAAAAAAAGTGTTAGCTCATTATGAGGAGGGATGGGGCAGAATTCTGGGGCGAGAGGTGGAGGGAATCCTAAACTTTCTGCAGTGCCTGATTGCACTTGGTGCTCACCCCTTTTTAACATATTTTTGGTAATATTTTGGATTTGTAAGTGAGTCCGGGAGAGAGTGGAGTAGTGGCGCACTACCACACATCCATGGTCCGGGGATCAAATCAGGGGTTAGTACAGGCCCGAGCCAGCCAAACAAGCCCTCCATCACTCCGGGGTCGATAAGTTGGTCTCAGGTTCTGCCTGGTGAAATAGAAGCACTGACCTGTACATCGGTTGGTCAGAGCAAATCAATGCATAGGTCACATGAGCATCCAATACGCCACTACGATCCTGATTAGGACCAGACCGCAGGGCGCATCCCAAAAAGATAAACCAGAGCCAGAGGACTCTCTTTCGTTTTCACCGACGGTTCTTTATGATCATATGTCCTATAGAAAGCTGCTTTCCTGAGCTGTTCTCGGCTATAGTATTTAAGCATTAGGATAACCTTCCATTGAAATTGTTTTCTTCAGAGGTGGCAGGATCCTATAAGCGGCATCTCTCGCCTATTTGAGAGACCTTCTATTTTGCGGTCCACTTTCAGACCGGTGGTCCGGGGATGGGAAGAATGCCCCGCAGATTATCTTTTCTCCTCTATGGAGGAGCCTTTTAGATATTTTAGTAATGCTCTGAAACCCTCTGTGATGGGTCCTAGGTTCCGGAACAATGCCATATGGATGGGCTGACCTCAAAGGAAGTCATTTATGCCATGAATTTTATAGCCATCCTTCCCCTTTCATATTTGTATGAGTGTCTTAATGGCCATGCCAACCTTCTTATTCATGGAGCCTCACGACGACCGGCCATTTGGAAGTCAAACTGGGACTCTGAAAAAAATGACACGCGGTGTCATCAATATTAGGAGCACTTATATTTTGCCATACCATTTTCTGGGGACGTAGACTGCGCTCCCCATTACACTTTTCAGTAATAAGCCTTTCAGAAGGTTTTCTGTAGAGCTTACCTTTCTCTCTCTTGGGAATCCTTGTCAGCAGTGAACAGAAGTTTTGGGTGCAGTGAACTGTTTGAGGAATTCTCCTTCCTTGAATTTTATTCTGCTGTGAGAGTGATGTGTACGGCCGTGGGAACAGGGTCCATGTCGCGTTATTTGAGTAGGTTGCATCACTTCAAAGTCGTTCAGGCTGCACTTTAACAAATACGGATAGGCCTAGGAGTCACCATAAGTGGCCCCAAGCTCATGGAGCAGGTCTGGGATCATGCCCCTGCCACAAAGTCCTCATAGTGATCACAAAGGTCGGAGCAGGCCTACTGGAATCATAACTCTCCCATGGCTCCGAATATGAATTTTTGACCTGGTCTATTTCACAGAGACAAACATCCACGACGCACCACCTACGGTTCCTCCCGCTTCATGTGAAGAATTGCTGAAACAGGAACTTTTTTGTTTCAAAATGATCAAGTTTCTAGTATTCCATGAATTTATTTGCGACAAAAGGGAAAAAACAGAAAAAAACTAAGCCTGAAAACTGAGCCCTCTTCCAAAAAATTGATTGGAGGTTGGCCTTTATTATCGATTACATTTATCCTCACCAAAAGATCGATATTACTCATAATTAATTAATCAATTAATTAAGTAATTAGTTAACTCATTGATTTGACCTGTTCCCTCTATTAAAAGACGACTGTTCATTATTGGTCGCTTGTAATTTTGTAAACAAATTTCAAGAGTTTTTAGTGACCTATCGATTTTTTGAAGTTTTGTCTTTTCGACGATTGTCAGCTTGATCTCTGTCAATGTGAGTCGTTGTGGGCGGAGTTCCCCACAGAAACTCCTCCTACCTGCAATTTTTTTGATTCTCTGTGGCTCAAGACTCTCGTATCAATTGTCTTCATATATCATCATGTCATCTGGCGGATGTGTGCTTGTTCTTTGTTTGCGTAGTCTCAATGTCCCTTGTCGTCATACATGCATTATCAATGTTTGAACAGAATATAATAGATCCATCAAATAGGAAACTACATTGCGTAATTCGAATTTCCTCCTTTTAGAATGTTTATTTTCTTGTTTTTTTTTTCAGAATGAACAACTATATGACAATAACAAACGATCTACCTCCGAGGGATTTGAAGAATGGAAGGGTGAGTTATGTTTTTCATATGGTCATGAGAATAAACAGGCTGTGGGAAGATTTGACTTGTTGTTGTTGTTATTGTCTTTGTGACGTTGTCTTTGTCTTTGTGTTGTGGTTGTTTTCTGGCCTTGCCACCGTGTACGATGTGAAAGTCTCACAAGGATGGCCGAGCACGGGCAAAACGCTTGGCTTGGAATGGAATTGAACTTTTGCTTTGCCAGGAAACCCCAGTCCTGGTTCGACTCCTGTCAGAGGCCGAGCGTTTTGCTTACATTTAACTCAGAAACCACGTGAGGCTGTGAGCAGCAGTTTTCTAAGAAATTTACAAAACGGTAGGAAGTGGATTGGTAGTAGAGAACCATTATAGTTGAATGTAAGTGAGCAGCTAGGATTGATATTCCTTCCGATAGGCTGTGAAAGTTGAAACGGTTGGAAAAATTTTTTTGGAGAAAGAATGAAAATTTGCCATTGAAATTTAGTTTTTAATATTTTTATGTTCACTAAACTTCAAAAGTCGATTCCTATTGAAACACTGGCACTAATCAATATCGCTCGAAACTATCGTATTAGCATTTTTGGGAGATTCGAAGGTATACCAAATTGGTGCATCCTCTCCTAACACTTTTCAGAGTTAGCAGGAAACTCTGCAATCACAGGAGCTATCGATCGGTTTCCATAAAAAAACGGGTAGAAATCGTTGTCGCTGGTAGAAATTATCACTGGGTTTGGTACGGTATGCTGAGTATTCGTTCCTCTTTGGCTTCCGTTTGTTGCAGCAGACTTTCTCTATTGAAAATCATTATTAGTTTTTAATATGTCAACTCCGTTAGCCATCCTCCCTTACCACCTCC